AACACCACTCGAGTTCTGATCGGGGGGGTGGCGTTCCTCCCAATCACGCCCTTCCAGGTCTCACTGTCATTGCCCACGTGAGCATTGAAGTCCCCCAGCAGAACAAGGGAGTCCCCAGCAGGAGTACTCTCCAGCACACCCTCCAAGGACTCCAAAAAGGGTGGGTAGGCTGAGCTGCTGTTTGGTGCATATGCACAAACAACGGTCAGGACCCGTCCCCCCACCCGAAGGCGGAGGGAGGCAACCCTCTCGTCTACCGGTGTGAACCCCAATGTACAGGCACTGAGCCGGGGGGCAATAAGTATGCCCACACCTGCTCTGCGCCTCTCACCGTGAGCAACTCCAGAGTGGAAGAGAGTCCAACCCCTCTCGAGAGAACTGGTACCAGAACCCAGGCTATGTGTTGAGGCAAGTCCGACTATATCCAGTCATAAGCCCACGTATCATTTCAAAATAGCAGTTGTCACAGTATACCGGACAATAAAATAAAGCCAACCAATTTATGGTATGGTCATTGCTGTACATACTTAAAAAATGTAGCATCTTCTCCACGTGTCTCATTGAGTTGAGGTTTCTTGTAAAACAGGGGTGTCAAACTAAATTTTGTCACGGGGGCACTTTGGAGTTACGTCTTCCCTCGGAGGGCCAAATTAATGTTTAATCATCACATAGTATTATTAATTGTACACAACAAAATAGTGTATTACTAGTTTTGAAATCAGTGAACTATTTGTTTGTTTGTTCACTTGTTGTTCAAGTGAGTGTGGATAGGACCAGACACTTATTGCAAAATCTCAATGTTATTTATTACACATGACAATTTGACATTTCAGTCCAGATTTTAGAAAGGATCATGGAAGTTGACACACTTGATCTGCTTTCGCGGGCCACATAAAATGATGGCGCAGGCCAGATATGGCCCCAGGCCTTGCATTTGACACCTGTGTTGTAAGAAGTGCAACTGATTCTTGTTGTTGCATCGTCATTAACCTTCAGCTACTGTGATCTAAAATAAAAAGAAGCCGTTGATGGGCATGTGCTATCCCATGTATTCGGTTTCCTAAAATAGCATCAAGTGGCACTGCTCCAACCTATTATCAACTGATTTCAAATGCAACGTATGAGTAGTAAAAAAACAAAACAAAACCAAGCTGCATGTTTGAAATGAACAAAGTTCAATTGCATCACAGAGGAAAAAACATTTCTATTGCTCCAGATAATAAAATAATACAGGTCAGAGATTATTACATCTGTGCTAATTCTGAACATTCCACTGGTAAGCGTTTTACAAGTACATGCGACAGCACTCAACATAACTGTGAAATGTTATCAGTGGTTGATTTTGAGAGTGGATGAACTTTTTCAATGTGTTACTTTTAGGTCTGACACTTGGCACTCCAGCAACAACCATCAACAAAGTTTGTGCCTCTGGGATGAAGTCAATCATGATGGCAGCCCAGAGTCTAATGTGTGGACACCAGGTAGATAAAGCCTTTGTTTAAAAAAAAAAAATTCTCTATGTGCATTAGTGCACCCCATTTGAAAAGTAAGTTTTTTATCCATCTCTCATTGTACATAATTAGACGGAGGTTGTTTGAGTTTTGGTTTTCTTCAATCTTTTATTCAATATCAGCTTTGCTAGAGATGCATGTTGCGTGGTGATTTTTACATAATTGAAGGAATTAGCCAGAAAAAAAACATTGTCTGTATCCATTGGCAAATTTGAATTTCATTAGCGGTTCATATTTGTGGGAGTGTTGTGTATACTGCACCAGAGAAAATGAACGTTAAATTATTTGTGTGTTTTTAAATTATTGTTCAGGATGTGATGGTGGCAGGAGGGATGGAGAGCATGTCCAATGTGCCTTACGTGATGCCTCGAGAAACGCCATCCTACGGTGGCGTTAGAATGGAAGACCTCATTGTGAAGGACGGACTGACTGATGTATACAATAAATTCCACATGGTAACTGTCCACTTAAACTCTTAAACATTAGCACCATGGAAAATGTCACGTATTTGATAGCACAATGCATACACAGTATTTAGTGTTTAAGTGCAGTATAAGATAGTATTATCCACGTGACGGAGTTGAGTCAATGGAAGTTTTTAGTCTGATAGGTCTGCTTCTAATTCCACGTGAGCACTAATCTTTGATGTCATCACCAAACAGGGCAACTGTGCAGAGAACACCGCAAAGAAAAGCAGCATCACCAGGGAGGAGCAAGACAGCTATGCCATCAGCTCATACACGCGCAGCAAAGTTGCATACGAGTCGGGGGTGTTGGCCAAAGAGATTGTTCCAGTTAGCATCCCACAGAAAGGTTGGTAAGAGCGCAATTTTATTTCATACTTCTCTGTGATATTTTCATGCTGTATGTTTCATGACTTTCAGGCAAACCTGACGTGGTCGTGTCTGAGGATGAGGAGTGGAGGCGGGTGGACTTTAGTAAAGTTCCCAAACTTAAGGCAGTGTTTCAGAAAGAGAATGGTAATGATCAATTTGTCTTCCCTTCATTTTTTGGGGGGTAAATGTCTTATTTATTATGTTTTGTTTGCTGTTTTTAGGCACAGTGACTGCCGCCAATGCCAGCACTCTGAACGATGGAGCTGCTGCCCTCGTATTAATGACAGCAGACGCTGCAAAAAGACATAATGTCACTCCACTGGCCAGGATTGTATGTAAGGACAATTTATGATGAAATCTAATTCTGAATACGGGAAGCTTCTGATTTTTATTCCCTACGGGGTATGAGACAGCCCAAGCATCCACAATCCATTCACAAATTATGGCGTAACTCGCCCGGCGCTGCCTCCCAGTCATAGTAAAGCTGCGTTCGCCATCGCTCCCACGCCACTTGCAACTTCATTTTGACTTTTCTTTCGCCTTAAAAATCACCGTAGGTGTCTGTTTCTGTCCATTACTATGGCAACAAAGCACAACAGTGAAAGACAACTTCTTGCGCTTCGTTGTGCATATTACTACCGTGCTGTTCCCCTTCTTCTCTACAGTGTGGTTCACCTGAATGTCGAAAGTGAGCGGCACCTCGTCCATGTTGTTGATTCGGTCGGGCTGGATGTGTTTGGCGGCAATCTTTTTGTTGCATTTCAACATGCAAAGTATCACTTGCCGTAGCCCAAGCGGGCAAGCTAGGAATGTGGTGATTGGTTGAGAGAACAGTCGGTAATAGAAGCCAAGTGAGGCCACCAGAGCAACAGACTAAAGGATTAAAATCTCCAAGAAAGAATCTTTATTTAATGTAATGCCAAACATTACACTTTTTACTGCAGTAGGAGCGGAAGATGGCCAGCTTTTTTTTTTAATCCGCCGGGTATTGCTGCGCCACTGTCATCCTTGCCCAGATGGATAGATGGCGCCGTTTCATAAAACCAAAGCACCAAGCACCGTGGATTACTTGATCTTTAATTTTTGAAATAAACTGTGCGTCATAAACGTAGCTCTCCATAGGTGCCATTATCAGGAAGTTGTTTTGCACAGCGCACATACCGGCACTATGGGGTGTGCCTTTAGCGTCCTCTTTCCACCCTTCCCATTTTAACATCCACATGTTGTCCTCAGTTACATCCGCCCTTCCTCTATATTAGCAGCGTGTCGGCACAACATCAGTCAGTCAGTCAAGTGGACCCCTCATTGGAGTCACACAACAGCATTCACACATTTTGGAAGTCAGAGCATACACAAGGCATTATTGGGCGGGGGTCCAATTTCGAGAACATTTTAGACTTTTAACGCTTTACGGTCGCGAAAATTCGATACTTTACATTACACACAACAGTCTATTTGTTACGACACACACTGTGGGGCACCGTGGAAGTGTTTCACAGCTCAAAAGCAATGACGAGTGGCATCTTGACTTTTTTATTGATAGCAACGCACAGAATAATAACTGGATTTACTCTTTCTGAACGGACGAAGTTGTCAAGTATTTGATTCATGTTGGTCGCTAATGAGAGCTTAGCTGTGTTTGAAGTGGCCTGAAGTCTCATGTGTCTGTTTTAAACCGAATCTTTAATTTTGGTGTTGTGTTTTTGCTCTGTAGCGTTTGCTGATGCAGCTGTTGCACCCATTGATTTCCCCATTGCTCCTGCATACGCTGTACCAAAAGTATGTACACATAATCTACATTTTGAGTTTCCTGTAATTGCTAATTACCTAATTAAAGAAGTACTTCCAGGTCAGAGATGTTATTGAATCAAAAGGTCATCTGTGTGTGGCTGTCAGGTGTTGGATGCAGCCGGGCTGACCAAAAATGATATCGCCATGTGGGAGATCAATGAGGCCTTCAGTGTGGTCGTTCTGGCCAACATCAAAATGCTGGACATAGATCCTGCGAAAGTGAATGTCAACGGGGGAGCTGTGTCACTCGGACACCCCATTGGGTAAGCAGTAAAAAGTTATCCTAAGAAAAGTTAAAATATGTCTAAGTTCAGTCATACTGATGCATTATTATTATTGTTGTTGTTACTGAAAGTCAGCGTGGGAAAGAACTTTTTGTAGTTCCTAATCATGTCCCCTTTTCTCACCTGTCAGGATGTCTGGAGCCAGAATTGTGGGTCATATGGTGCACAACCTCAAGTCTGGCCAGTACGGTCTGGCAGGTATCTGCAATGGAGGGGGTGGAGCCTCTTCTATTATTATCCAGAAGTTCTAGAAAATGGAAAGGGGACGCTTACAGCCCCTTCAATACTCTCTTTGAAATATGTGGGTGAGGGATTGTAGCGTCCAAATCGTTTGCAAAGCTCCCTTTTTATTATGAAGAATGCTGTTTTTTTTTATCAGGCTCCAATGCAGGTGGCCTATTTACACAACACATAAAGACTTAACTCCGATGACATCATAAGTCCAATGTTACACTCCTTTGTTAAACAATTAGGTGGGAAAATAAGTTAATATTTAACTCTGAACTGAAATGGTTGAATAAATAGTTTTTATTATTATTATTATTATCATTATTATAATTATTTATTATTTACTGTGCAAATTAAAAAATAAAATAAAAAATCAATTTTCAGTGGACACAAGAGGGTTTTTTTCCCACCAGAATGCTGACGATAACTAGACTCACTTGTGGATGATTTCTTCAGTAGCAAGTGGGCAGACCAGTAAGTGGCACCCACTGTATAAATTATAAAAAAAAAAAAAAAAAATCAATTCTCAGTGGACACGAGAGGGTTTTTTTCCCCGCAGAATGCTGACGATAACTAGACTCACTTGTGGATGATTTCTTCATTTGCATCTCAAATGTGAGCTTTACCAAATGTTCATTTGGTGTGTCTTCATTTTTCCACAATTTGATACTTTCGATATATTTTGTCTCTGCACATTGAAGTTTCATTTGAAATCAATAACCAACATTTTCAAGAGTATTTTATATGCCATAGAAAATAGATGCTCAAGTTTTGTTTTTTTTAAAGAAATGAGTTGTGGTGTACCGTACCTATTCATGTTGGTCACTGTAGATTCTGTATTGGCCACGAGGTGGCACCATTTCATTGCCGTGATTTTGCTACCACTGGCCTTTCACTGGTACGAGCTCAAATTGCACTTCATACTGCAGGTTTTAGGAATGTTTTAAAAATAGATATTGCTATTCGTTGAAGCACATTTATCTATGGTTACAATAAAAAATAAAATGACATTGTCTGTATACAGTCATTTTGATATTCCTCAGTTGTTTCGATCACACGGAAGTGTCGTACTGTATCGGGTGTAGTAGTAGATCTGGGTGGCCGCCAGAGGTAGCAAAAGTACACGCACAGTACAGGAAGAAAAAGTCGAATATACTTTAATGTAAAAGTAATCAGGATTTTTTTTACTATTAGTACTCAAAACCGTTTTAACTGTCATGTTTCGGTTTGGGACCAACAGGTGGCACTGTAGGGCTCTCCCTGCAGCTGCACACCTGTTGGTCGTTATGTAATTAGTGCTTTAAAAGGACTCCCAGCCCGAGCACTCATTGTCGGGTCATTGTTGCTGTTTGTTGCTGTTTCTTTGCTGCTGTCATGTTTGCTTATTTGTTGCTGTCATGTTTCGGTCATGTTTCTGTTACGATTAGTTTTGAGCTTCTGCCTAGTGATGGGACGATGATACCTCAAGGAGTGTATTGACCCACTTCACAAACTGTGTCAGCACTATATTGACACTGTGTTGGTCACCCAATAGTGACCCCTTCAGTAGTTATAAAATCATTGCAGGTAAAGAAATTCCTTGTTTGTATAAATGCTAAACTGAGTTGGTATGGAAAATATCGCAAATTTGTGTTACAATTCAGATTTTTAACTTATGTAGAAAATTTTTGTTAAATCACGTGAAATAAAAGACAAAAAAGTGATTAGTTTATGAATTTTTATTGAGGAACAAAGGTTTTTGGAGTGTCTTTGCTCCAAGGCGATTTCTCCTCTTAGACACCAGCTCCCCAGCCTCAGAAAGTACTCTTTCACATGGTTCAGATGACGATAGTGAGCAGAGAGTTTTAAAAGAAAGTTGATGCAGATGTGAATATGTTTTCTGGTTCCATTTCCAATATTGTAAAGGGTCTTGGTTTCTGGGTGTGTTTGCTTCTGACAGGCAGCGTTGGACTATATATATAACAGTAAACAATGCTCAAAGGAGAAAACGATTTACCAAGATCAAAATTATTCCACACTGGGGAAAACTTCATAATTTCGCAAAACTCCAGCCAACAAACCAACGACATGTTGATACAGTTTGTGTCCTTATAAACACACTTTGACGCAGCACATTCAAACGATCCAGGTCCTGTATTGGTCATGTGATTCTTTCTTAAAACAATACACGCACCGATGCAGGGTTTCACTCTTGAGCTCTCGGCACTGTGCTGACGCACCAGTGTCGCACGTCCCATCACTACTTCTGCCATGGTTTTTGTTTGCTACTTTGGACTTTGTTTGTTTTGGATTTAGTTTTCTCGGTTTTAATACAATCTTTCAAGTTCACCCTGCTCCTCCCTCCTGCCTGCTTTTTGGGGTCCACCACCTCCCTCGCATCGTGACATTAACTAACTTAATACAACAATTACAAAAGTGTCTCTGTACACAAAATAGTTTCCTTTTTTTAATAACTAGCAAAAGGTTCAAACTGAGAATTGAAAAAAAAAAAGTTGGTTCTGAGAGCCGACAACATGAAACAGTTCCCTAAAATAAGGTCATGGATGAGGAATATTTTGCTTCTCTGAATCAGTTGCCATTATTGTTCATGGTCCCCAGTACACATTCCTTCAACTTGCTGTTTTTCTTTTTTTCTGCCTTACAAGTCCCTAAGATATGAGAATAGGTCACGATCTCTGCTGTGATTGTCTTTTAGTTTTACATTCATATTTTTGTGTCACGTCATCACCTTGGATATTGAAAAGTGCAGCCAGAATGTACTTTATGTATTTTGAACAAATGAGTGTGGTCGTATAAACGTAAGATGTGAGACATCTTACCCCCCATCCAAGTGTGTGGCTGGGAAGACAGATGACTCAGTCAGTATATAAAAAAAAAAAAAAAAACTTCCTAGCAGAAATCCTAAGAGGAAAAAATTTCTTATTGTCTAACTACTAGTTACTAACTAGGTTTTCATTTCTTTTGTGATCAATGTTTAAAAAAATTTACTTGTCTTCCTAGGACTGTATGTGTTGTTTGTTTAGTAAAATGCTGGTTCAAGGTGTTGAGTTGTTGTTAGCAACAAGAACATAATGTCCCTTAGCCTCTCACTGGAAGAGTTTCATCTCTCATTCTTTACCTTTTTCTGCCAGCCAACGCAGTCAAACATTAAGCTAAATATTAACAGGGTTTAAGTCCTTTGGCCACAAGTATTTTCAGAGTTGACATTTCCCATTTGTTTGGAGGTTACCGATAGTTATCGTTCTAGTTACCTTCTTGATAGTTAATTTTAAAAAAAGGTGGTGGAGAGCTAACTTCGTGATGATGGGCCAAAACATGCGTCACATCAATGTTTCATCCACAGGAATATGTACTTATCATCCCACTTCCGGCAGTTATGAGTCAGTTCAAGAAATTAGTTTTAAATGATGCATTTCTATGTACGCCTTTTGGTTTTGTTTTGTTTGAGTGAAAGTAGAAGATATCTTTTTGTGGACCTAAAACGTGGATTTAACAGGATTAACAAAACCAGAACTGGTTAGATATCAAATGCGACTATGAATGGATTTTGGCTGATAAACTGGAGGAATTGAGTCGACTAATCTCACTGGTATTCTGGATTTTAATCAGAGAATAAGGTGTATCAATAGCCGGCCTCAATACCTGTTTGCTCATGCCATTTTTGAAGAAACATTTGAATGAAGAGACAAACAACAGGCTGGCTTGTGCACACAGTGGAAAAAAAAGGAAGGTGTGGTCATGGCTGTTGATTACTTTCTTCTGGGTGAATATGAGACAGAACAAGCGGGAAAGGACAGAGAAAAACGGAGTGCTGGAGACATTAAGATTGCAAGGTACGTCTGATAAATATGCTTCAGTGTATGCCGGTGTACTTTGCTATAACGCAACCCTTGAACATTTCATTTTAAAAAGTGCAGCTGGTCTCAACTAAGCTAGTCAAATATTGGGGGTTTTCCTCCCTTCTGCATGACATCACGTGTGAAATTGAAAACATAAAACCTGTTTTTTTTTCTGAATACACAGTCTACATTGAAACCATGATAGACTAAATGCTACTAATTATTTTAATAATTTCCAGACGTCCTTCATGAACAAGTGGTGTGACCAGTTTCAACATGAATAATAACCAGGTAGGTCATTTAACAAAAAAAAACAAAAAAAACACACTTTTAGTACTGGCCTTTTGCAGAGTTTCATCTGCTTCTGTTTTCAAATAATATTTATAATACTGTACCAAAGCAATTATAGACTGATTCACTTTAGCCATTTGAAATTACTGTTGAACTATTTTCTTCTCTCTTCTTCAGACTAATGGTCCCACGTACGACAACATCGGCTTCCAGCATGAGGAAAGTCGACCCCCACCATTCGCGCCACAGCAAGGGATCTATCCTACTCTCCCTGAGCCGACTCCAAGCTACGTCGCCTTCGCTCCCATACCGATCAACACCCACCAAACGACGACCCCTGCCGCGCCACAAAATACCACAGAAAACAAAGGTAGTCACTAAATGCTGGTTCATATCCTGTTTTGTGTCAGGACCCTTTGCTGACCTGCTCCCCTGAGTTGCGAGACAAACGCTTGATTGTATCACTCGAGAAAGAGTCCTTGTCATCCTGTTTATATTCTTATTATCGTTCGTATTGTACCTCACCCTATATGGATCAACATTAAAAAAAAAAACCCAAAACATATATATATATATATATATATAATAAACAAAAAGTGTGATGGTCGCAGAGGTGTCTAATCATAAACATTTATTGTTTTCCAAAAAGCCACACTTAACCAAATATCAACCATTTCTGGGATCTTGACAGCAAATAAATCAATCTGAAAATAAATCATAACACTAATTATGATATAAATATTAACCAGATAACCCTTTTCAGGTTTTTCACAGGACAAAAAAAAAAAAAAAAGACCATGAAACATTAACTTTCTTGTCGACACAACTCCAAATCTTTTAGCCAATATTCCGTTTTATTTGACAGGGATATGTCCAGGATTTTTTTTTTTTTCCAGAGGGTGGGGTTTCAAATGTTACGTTCTATGCATGTACAAGTCTTGATCATGTGGCCAGACTGAAAAAAAGCTCATCTGCAAATTAGCTTCATGTAACAACAAGAGTCTGAGAAAAGTTCTGGGATGCTTTGTAACAATAGCTTTGTTCAGCATTGTTTGAGGGGGAAAAAACATCCACCAGTGTTTATAAGATAGACAGTACCTCATTTAAGAAGGTGGAGAAACACAGCTATTAGTCCAAAGTGGCTAATGTATGTGCAAATTAGTTTTTATGGCTAAATTTAGCTATTGCGGCTTTTAATCAGGTGCGTTTTTGTTCGTCTGGAAATTACGGTACAAGCACGGTAAAATCAATATTGAACAAATTTTGATAGATCAAACTGTGTCCTAGTAAAAAGTAGAGACATTTTTTAAATCAGTGTCCAAAATATATTTAGGGACACACAAAGGCATCTCTGATTAAAATTTGCCGTTGACCAGTGTAATTGATGCATGTGAGTAACAAATAGCTACCAAAAAACCCAACCGTTTACACATTTGTCCTGCATTATTCCAATATGTTCATAGATTAATTAAATAAGTTAACATTTTTTATTTGTAAATGTTATGATTTGTTATATATGCATGATTTCCACTCCGCAATTTTTCTAGTGACATCCCCATGTGCATGTAATAAAACTGCGCTAAATTAGCATTCGGCCCACATTATACTAATACGTTCATAGTCAATTTCCTTGTTTGGCTGCCCTGTTGCAGCGTCTCTCCATGTCACACTGTCTAAGGTAGAGGTGAAACTACAGTGCGTATAGCTTACAGGGCTTACAATTTACATTTTTATGAAAGTGCGTTTACCTTGTCTCGACAAAGTACCTGATGTTTACATAGTGACTCAAAGTCTGTTTTGTCTTTACAGGAAGAACGAGGTGTGCATGGAAACGTATCCTGTGTGCATCCATATGTGTATTTCTTGTTCTGGTGATCCTCACCCTCTTATTGTGGTACTTCTGTAAGTCACAGTTTATTACCATTAGACCGTTAGAACTGTAAGTCACAACCCCCCCATCGACCCTCAGTTTTAATGTCAAAGGCTTAAGCAAAGATACAACTTCTGGGTCAGGTTTTTCCAGAACTCAGGAGTGTCTCATTTTTCGTCTAGTCTGAGCTTCTTTCAAGTTATTTTTAAGACGACAATTATTTCAATTGCTTGATTTCTACAATGTTTCAGAGGGTGGTGTTATTTTTATGAATGAATTCCCATGACATCCATCACACACATCGGCGCTGAATTTGTCCGCCTGCGCCTTGCTCAAATACACCCAAATTGCATTACATCATCTTTGCTACAAGTTAAACCTGCTTTTTGCAAGTCTAAAATGTAGTCTATTTTTTGTAACCAAATTTGCAGATGCGCTGGGGGGCACGGCAGGAACACCCAGTGAGGCTAGCGCATTTACCAAATTCACAAACACGATGAAGTGGATGTGACTTAGATCTGCATGAGCACAATTGAATGAATTTTACGGTAGTTTATCTCTCAGCAGCTTTTATTGTGTCTTCATATCTTTATTTGTGTGTTTCATGGCAGTGTACTACCAGTGTGCACTGGGCAAGTCATGCAGGTATAGTCTGAAGTGTCTACGCACCTCCCAGTGGTGTGATGGCGTCACAGATTGTTTGCATGGCGAGGATGAGTCCAACTGCTGTAAAAACCTTTAAATTTTCTTTCAGTCTTGGACACACAAACCGTGCATTGGATTTGTTTGGCTCAGCGATATTCCTGCTATTTAACAGTTCGTCTTTCTGGAAGCAACTTTATGCTGGAGAGTTTCTCATCTGAGAGCCAATCGTGGATTCCTGTATGTGGTGACAGATGGGATGACAATTTTGGGAAAGCTGTGTGCGGGCAGATGGGTTACAAGAGGTGAGCTTCTCGACTATATAACATACATGGCAATGGCGAGTGATGAAAAAAGCGGAAGGGGCGTGGCCTGGACGGGGGCGTGGTTACTTACAAAAGTGGCACTAAACATGCTGAAGATGAAGTGTATTAAATTTACACAGTTTGAAAATTGAACAGAAAAAAATCCCAAGATCGCCACTATTCTTTCAAGTGAAAATTTGTGCAATTTTGCCTATGCATTCCTGGTGAGCACCAGTATGTAACTCCAAATTTGCTTCTCAAAATCAAAACTAAAAAAGTAAACACATTCCCTGCCATATTTAAGATTTGTTCATGACTTGTATTCATAAAGTGTTGTGTAAATGTGATAAAAAGCTGTTGATTCTTACCTCATACAGTGATAGTGAATATTATGCATACAATTTATTATGCATAACCGTGCTTTATTATCCAAGACAAAACGTGAATTATCAATATGAATATAAAACGCAAATAAAAACAAATAAATGTTATCATGCTGTTGCTACAAATGCATACCAAATAAAAGTGAAAATATCATCCTCGTATATTTGAATAAAAAAGTATATACCTCGGAGTGTACCTGTCTATCGGCGAGGGGCGTCAGTGGAGCAGATTTCGTTGCTTGGTTCAGCCAAAGTAAGTACCCCAGCGCGTAACGTCTTTAGTTGTATCCGCTGACGAAGTTTGTTTGAAAAATGCCGATCCCAAAGAATAATTGCTCCGGCGAATGGCGATTTTGTCGGCATGTTTTTTCACTTTTGTTGCATGATCTGTCAGTGCCACGCATCCACGGGAGCCATAGTTAATTAAGTCACTACAATACACACAATAAGCTTTGCCTGCTACGTCTGGTTTCTTCAAAAATTGTCCAAGAGCTTCTGTAACTTCGTCGAACTTGGAACCAATTTTAACCTTTACAGTGACTTTTCTGTCAAGCCAGTCCTATCGGAATTTATTCTTGACATTTGAGTCAATTTCTAGGATTAAAGACTCCTGATCTTTCGTCAAAAATTTCATAATTCCGCTCAAAACGATCCCAGAACAATGAATTTGCGAGACGAACAGGCCGCCGTGAATCAGGTAAAACAATATGTTACATGCAATTTGATTGGTCCAATCGCTTGTAGTTAACCAATCGCTGGGCCGTTTATAATCGAGCTAAGACTTCCGCAACAAATAATGCCTTCAGTGATCTGATTAGTTGAAGCTTTCATACACGTCCAATCGCAGGGCTGTTTACAAACGGAAAACGGAGAGACTGTTCGGGAGAGCTCGTGAAAACTCGATGATAAGGTACCTGACCGCCCCTAAAATTTTCTCAACGGATTTAGACGATTCACAAAAATGATCAATTTAAGAAATAAAACGGCGGATTTCCGCGGATCCGCGGAAAATTGCCATGTATGATATAAACATTTGCTCCCTGTTCTTGAATGGAGTTTTACATGGGATTCAAAACCACAGTAATAAGTTCCGCATACATTGAGATATACAGTATACAACCGCTGATTGAATGGATTCCGTTCAATTGACATTAAGCCAAGAAGAAATTTTTAAATGTGCTCTATATGACACCTGATCTCCTAAAAATAATGTGACTGGAAAGTTAGCATTTGTGTTATTTGTGTTAAAGTATGTTTGTCCAACCTCACTGATTGCTTTCTTTTGTTTGGCCCATAGGCAGGATTATGTAACCTACAGGCAAACAAATGTGGGCTCTTTAACCTCGAGAGGATTCATGAAGCTGATGCCTAGCAGTGACCATAAATCGCTAATACAGTCCCAACTCTCTTTCAGGTTTGTGAACTAGCTAATGCACAATCATAGTTAAAAGAAAATTTTGTATCTTGTTTTCAGACATGTAATAAATATGATGTGATATGTTTACTGAAATACTTTTTTTTTTTATTGTCATCAGTCAAAGTTGCAAAGGGACATCTGTCGGGCTTCGTTGTATGGGTAAGATACTGCTTAAATTCTTTCCATATTCCAAAGGCTTAGCTATAGCTAATATGAGTAGACAAAAAGTACAGTAGATATTAATTGATCCATTGTAAAAGTAGCAAAAATTAAACATCAGGGTATATCTTTAAAATCTACAGCCTGTGTCATCTTCCTGACATCATTTGTAAACCAACCAGTGTTAGCCATGCCATGTTCAGGGTACGTTGTCAGGGCCGGCAAGCCGATCAGATTTCAGACTTTGTGCTGCAATTTCAATTGAATATACTCAGCCTCTTCATAGTTAGTCGTGCCACCTAATGTAACTCAAACTAGATGTATTCCCAACTTCATCTCGCTACTTTTCATTTTGGATGACAAAGAGAAGTGTAGCCCAACCCACATTGGAAAGGAATGCAACTGACTGTCGGCCGTGTGGACCAAAGTCTGACACTGGATGTACAAGAAATGAACAGCCCGTATTATGGGGTCAGGTACACCATGCTCATGGAGCAAACAATACCCCTGAGAAACAGTTGAATACCTTATCCAAGTCCATAAAGCCGATCTAGATTTATTGGGCGAACTGCCATGCACTCCCCAGTTCTTTGCTCAGAGTGTAAAACTGGTTCGCTGTTCAAAGGCCAGACAAAAGTCACACTGCTCTTCTTGAATCTGAAATTTGACTTTGACGTCCTTATGGACCTGCCTCTGCAGAGCCCCTGAATAGACCTTCCCAATAAGGCCATGGAAGAAATGTGATCCCCTGTAATTGGAAAACACTCTCTGGTCCACTCTTTCTAAAAGGGCACCACCACCTCCGGTAGGCCAATACCGAGGCACTGTCCATGATGGCATTTCCGCCAGGGCAACCTCACAATATCCAGAGTCTTGAAGAACTCTGGGCCAATCTCTGCCAAGGAGTATTTGACCACCTGGGTGACCTCAACCCCAGAAAAAAGAAAGCCAACTTCAGATACACTGGACTTTCCTTATAAGAAGGAATGCCGGTGGACTTGAGGCTTTTTCAGCATTCTGCTCTGACTCACAATGTCCCAAGTCGAGGTCTGCAGAGGACCACGCCCACTATACACAATGCTAGTGTGGTGTACTGCTTCCTGCTCATGAGATGCGGGATGGTGGACGAGAATTTCCTAAAAGTAATCCGGAACTCATTCTGTATGGCCTCACTGAACTCCTCCCACGCCTGAGATTTTGCCTCAGCGGCCACCATAGCAACATTCCTCTTAGCTTGCATCCATTGCTCCACAGTCCTGCAGGTCAAAAAGCACCTGAAGGACTGCTTTATCTTAACAGCATTCCTCACCGTTGGTGTCCACCAACGGCCGCAGGGATTGCCGCCAGAACAGAGGCCAACCACTTTATGGTCGCACCGTCAATAGGGCAAACTTACCATGGATAACTACAGAGTGGGACAGAGTCCAACCCCTCTTAAGATGACTGGTTACCGAGCACAAGTTGTGCATCGAGATAAGACTGACTATAGCTTGTCGGAACTTGTGAATTTTGTACAACAGCCCAGGCTCTTTCTGTGCCAGAAAGGTACCGTTCCTAACTTCTATAGCCATGGGTCAGACCGCCAAGGTGCCAGCTTTTTGGTATCTGACCCCCATTGCTCACTCCGGCAGCTGGGGATCCCATACAGCGGAGGGACCTATGTTTCCACTTTGGCCTGGGCATGGCCAGGTGCATGCAAGGTGCTTACCATTGAGCCCTAACTCTAGTAAAGTGACCTGCTTTGTTTTTGGAGGATGTGTTCTTTGTCTGGGCCCTCCCCTAAGATTTTCCCTGGCTAAACCTCCCATGGAGCTAAAGTTCCTAACAATTTAGCTTCTCAGGTTGGTGGGACACAGAAACTCCTCCACCACGGTAAGATGACAACTCAGGGAGGAGTGAAGGGCACTTTCAGTAATTGATAGTTTTGCCCATTTTTACACCACGGATGCCAGTTTACCAAAATGGGTCCTTTGTTTCTACTAACGGGATTCCCCATCCTTGGGGCAAAAGTACTGTTTGAAATTGCTGATGTCTGAGACAAGCAATCGACCTGTTAAACTAATAATTTTTTTTCTGTCTTCAGATTGCGGAGAAAGTTCTGCATTCCCCAGCAGTCGCATTGTAGGGGGTACGGAGGCTTCAAATGAAGTCTGGCCATGGCAGGTCAGTCTCCAGATTTCTGGTCGAGGACACATTTGTGGAGGCTCAATTATCAGCTCATACTGGATTGTATCTGCTGCGCACTGCTTCCAAAGGTGAGTTGTTACGCCCATCTTTAATCTCTCTAATTGACATTTTGGTTCTGTTGGAAAATTGTGTATGAAAGTTTAGTTTGTGTCTTGACCATATTTGGCCTGTGCAAGTCCATTATATTCTGAATAAATGGGAATAAATTGAAAAAAAAAATCAAATTGCAGGTTCTCCAGACCATCAGTATGGACCGTGTACTCCGGCGACATAAGCCTGCGTAAAATGAGCTATTATTACGGCAACAAAGTTGAAAAAATCATCAGTCATGAGAAGTATGACTCTGAAACATACGACAATGACATCGCACTTCTGAAGCTTGACACACCTTTGACATTTTCAAGTAAATCCACCAACAAGATTCTTGCTTGATTTCCCTAATTCATTTCCCGACATGACAGAATGAATTGTTGATCCAACAGAGAGAGTAAAGCCGGTGTGCTTGCCAAACTTCGGCATGGAATTCTCAGCTGGAGATGCAGCATGGATTACAGGTTGGGGATCTTTGCGATCATCTGGTAAGACGAACTTCTTCACTGAGAAAAATTGAATTTTCTTTTTCATTTAAATGTTTGATTTTGTATTATTTTTAATTGAAATTAATCTCGGGACAAAGATAAAATATTTTCTTATGCTATGCAAGAATTGCAGAGAAAGAAGCTTGGTTGTTTTCGACACTGTTCTATTATTTTAAATATGATCACCTGGCAATGCCTCTTGGCGGCTATGGTGCTAAATATAATAGTGGAATTGTTCGACAAATAATGATTACTTTTATTTGAAAACACATTATAAAAGGATTTCTCTGAATTCTGAGTTTTTCACCGAATTACTATTTTTTTTTTATTTGTTTTTTTTTTATCGAGCTTGATTAAATTTGTGTGTGTGTGTGTGGGGGGGGGTTCTTTCTTTAAAACCTTTTTTTTCTTTTATTCTTTTTTTTTTTTTTTAATGAGATTTTCTGGAATTAAAACAAATAAAGTAACACAGTTGAGAGAGACTGTGGCTTCAACCCTGTATGCCCTTAACCCTTTCAGTTCCTACAGTGGACAGCTTATCATGTTAACAGGTTGCAGGGCGCATGAAAGTGTTAAAGTGGATGCTTTCACTTTCTTCAGGTCCATCCCCAGACAAACTCAATCAGGCTTTGGTGACAATTTACAGCAGAGAGGCATGTAACAATCGTGAAATATTAAACGGGGCAGTTACAGAATCGATGATTTGTGCTGGCAAACTGAGCGGAGGCGTCGATTCATGTCAGGTGAGTTTGGCTCTGCTGTCTTTGTCCCTGACACACTCCCACACAGACATGTCACGGCATAACTCATTTACGCGGCAGGGTGACAGTGGAGGGCCATTGGTGGTCAAAGAGGCGGATGTGTGGTGGCTGGCTGGAGACACAAGCTGGGGGATTGAATGTGCTCTGAAGAACAAGCCAGGGGTCTACGGCAATGTACCCTACTTTCTTGACTGGATATATTGGAAGATGCAGGTACAGTGACTGAATGCAGCAGTAATGACATGAGCCGTGAAGGACAGTGCATAATTAGCAAGCAGGTATTTTTCTGAAGTTAAATTAGAATGAATTTTTGTTTTCGATTAAAAGGGGAGTCAAGTCAAAAATATTCTTTACAATATGTTCTATGCGACCCTAGAAGCGGAATACATGGCATTCTGATTAATATCGTGGAAGATGAATCCAGAAGCAAAATCCACCTGTTTTTAGCCATCACAGGCTGTTGAATTCATATTTCACAAACGCAATGTGAATAAGAATGGCAGATTTAGACTAGTGGTGACCCATTAAACATATGATTGGAAAATTTTTTTTTTTACTTTACTTCCCCTTTAAAAAAAAAAATCAAATGGAATGTAAACTGGGTCAGCCCGGTGGTCCAGTGGTTATCGCGTTGACCTCACAATGCAGAGGTACCGGGTTCAATTCCAGCTCCGCCCGCCCTGTGTGGAGTTAGCATGTTCACCCCGGGCCTGCGTGGGTTTTCTCCGGGTACTTCGGTTTCCTCCCACATTCCAAAAACATGCATGGCAAGCTGATTGAACACTCAAAATTGTCCCGAGGTGTGAGTGTGAGCGCGGATGGTTGTTCGTCTCTGTGTACCCTGCGATTGGCTGGCAACCAGTTCAGGGTGTCCCCTGCCGACTGCCCGAAGACAGCTGGGATAGGCTCCAGCACCCCCCGCGACCCTTGTGATAAACGGATCGGAAAATGAATGGATGGATGGAATGTATACAGCAACATGTGACATCCCTCGGTACATATATAGGCACTAATGAAATCCAGTCTACAATTTGAGAGAGATTAATAACTGTCTGTCATCGATCCATTTATCTGAACCGCTTTTCCTCAAGAGGGTCACGGGCATGCTGGAACCAATCCCAGCTGTCTTCGGGCTACAGACGGGGTGATTAATAACATACGGTATATTTATAATTGTATAACTGTATCAAGGGAATTTACTTGATTACCTCATATAAAAACCAATTATTAGAATTATTCAGTATGATGTGGAGTTCAACAACACTGTAAAATATAAGAACAATAAAATATTTATTGTTATTAGCGCGTCAATCAAATATGCTTGTTTGTACAGGCAGATATTTGGGACCCTGTTTTCGTTCCGGCCGCAAGTCGAGACCAAAGTGCAGTTTAACTGTGTGCATGCATGAGTGGAGTTTTCTTTCTTTTTGGTATTTTGCAAGACTTTGGGGCTGCCAGAATTGGGTGGAAAGGGTGTTTGCACCTTTGCGCGCCGTTGTGGGACAGAAGTAGTTTTTCCCCCCCAGCCAATAATTGCGGCACCCCTCATTTGGATCATTGATTGGGGATCTGTGGCTATAAGTACACATGAAACAAACAAGCAAAACAAACTTTTGAGTAAAATGGAAATGGAGCATTCCTGTTTCGAAGGGGATAAATGTCGTTTTTGAACTGTAATTGTTAAATTTATTTTTTTCTCTCTTCAACAGACTCAGTGATGGAAATACTGGTCAGCAGCAACACACATTATCCTTTGCTTGGGGTTCCTAATTAAAACAAAAACTTTGCACTTTTGAATGGAAATGTCGGTATGCACTGTTTGTTTCTATTTGAACAAATGTACATAAATAAAGACTTTTTTTTTTGCACAAAGGAACACGTAATTTGAAGTCTGCTTAAACACTGGCAGGGGCTCGGTCGCTCTGGTGGTTGTGTGAACAGCTGAATCAGGTGGACCATGTTCAGAATGTTGCATTTCTTGTATCCCTTTCAAACTAATGTCCCAATTTCAAAATTTTTGATTTGAGTAAGTACGTCAGACGGTTTGTCACCAAAAGGAAAAAACAAATACCATTGACTAGAAAAAAAAACCTTAAACCTTACTGTTGAATGCAGCCTCAGTTCTGATATCTGTGTCTTGCTTTTTAAGTAAATATTCTTGTCAAGAGAAAGTCAAGCTCATTCAACTTTACTCCAGCTTCCGACTTCCTCTCAGAGCCTTTTTAACTATCTGTTGATTTGTGTACAGATAAACACGCACATGCGCGCAATGAAGACAGAATAGTGACCCACATTTTCAGCTAACGAAAATGGCCGAAAAGTTCATCTTCGGATATCGATCGAAAGATTTTATACCACAAAAACAACCCGGCTGAAACACAAAAAACACAATCGGTACACATTCCAATAGCTGGAAGTGGCACAAATTGGTTTAGCCTCTTGTAATTAGCTTCACCTAGTGCTAGCCTGATCACGGCTATGGACAGCAGTGGAACCAAAAAAATGCAGGCGCCGTGGACGGAAGTGAGGCTCCTTCGCCAGATCATTAAAAAAAGCAGTAATGCGCTGACAAAAACTCTGTGCTGACAGAACTTTATTCATCACAGACAGTCTCTGTCATATCATGTCATGTCAGAATCTGCTGAAGTCATTTCAGGAAGTATTTGTCATTGTCAAACACAGTATGAGTGACACAGTATGAGTGAGGTTTCTGAGATCAAAGGTGAAGTATCCAGTTAATCAGTAAATGCCTCGTTATTTCTCCACCAGGAAGTAATCAATTCACTGAGACTGACTGTCTTGTTTAGAACACTTTTCCATTTTTCACACATGTTTTTTGTCATGGTGACTTTGCACTTTGTGCCATTGGTTAAATATAAATTGACAAAAGTGCATATTGAGGGAATTATGTATATCTTTAGTAAATGGGAAAAAAAAAGGAATTTATTTAACTGGATGGTAGCATCTCTTCTGCTATCTTCTGTTATTCCTTGTTTGTTTTCCCTCGTTCAACCTGGGTGTCTCATCACTGATCATAGAGCTCAGCTCACTAATTGGCATATGCTCAATATTGGAGCCGACATTTGCTATCTGCTTGTACCAATTAACGTATCCGTGGTAGTGCGCTGACTCTGTTTAAGTGACGGAACAAAAGCCCAAATTTGCCATTCGTGGCAACTGCTGCATGCTAAGCGTAAGGGCCCTTGTTGCATCATCCCCACCTGTGTGAAACTGTCTTTCATCTATATCGGTCTTTTCTTGTTGCCCCTCAAAAGATGTGTGGGAAGAACGGGATGCTCTGATGTGTTGGCTAGCGGACGCAAAATCACACTGATCCTAAATGAGCCGTTAATTCATAGGGCAGTGTCTCCTCCCGTTTCGGGAATCGAAGCGGCCTCATGTAGAAGCTTTGAGTAGATATGGCAATGATGCTCACGTTCAGTCAATTGCTGGCATACATGGAGCGCCATAACCAGGTAGCAGGAATAGCGTACCAGAATATCGGTACCAAATATGGACTAGAGTTCCCAGATTCAAGATGGCAGACATCTTCGAAGGTGGTTGAAGAATAGCCAGGCCAAGATTCTGTGGAACTTGGTGGTGGATGAACATCAGAAAACAGCAGTCGTGATAGATGTAGCAATCCCGAATGATAGTAACGTGCGGCAAAATGAACATGAAAAGTTGGAGAAATACCAAGGACCGAAGGAAGAACTCGAGAAAATGTGGAGGGTGAAGGCAACAGTCGTGATCGAGGCACTAGGGGAAGTAAGCCCCCAAGATGGGTGGATGGCTCTGGCACACTGGTGTCAAACTCAAGGCCCGGGGGCCAGATCTGGCTCGCCACATCATTTTATGTGGCCACCGAAAGCAAATCAAAGATGTCAACTTTCATGATGCTCTCGACCAAAATTTCAAATTATTTGTAATAAATAAGAGTGATACTGTAAGTATTCTCTTGTTACCAAACCCCTCATTTCAGTAACTTAAACAATAGATGAATAATCCGTCATTGCTGACTTCTTTATATGGTTTCAGTCATAACGGCCCGCCAAGGGAAACTGTAACTAAAATCTGGCCCGCGACAAAAATGAGTTTGACACCCCTGCTCTAGCACATATCAGGAACAGCATCCGACACCTCCATGCGGAAGAGTGCAATACCGGGAGCAGCTAAAATCCTCAAGCTCCGAGGCCTGTGATAGAAGAGAGAGGCTTTCAGAAAAAAAAACAGGATTTCTAGTGTCATTGTGGAAAAAATTCTCACCAGCGCTTTGCTCGTGTGTGATTGTGCGCACGGATGATGGAGAACAGACACCGCATGCCTTTGTGCGTGTTAAACCAAATGTGGAACTGCGGCAAGTGTGTAAATCCTTCCTGTGTGCGCTGTATGCATCCACAACAAATCCTTGTATGTGTCATTTTGCCCCAAAGACGATCATCATTGCAACGTTGTTGAGTAGCCAATGAGCTGCGAGTCCTTGTTACTGGGCAGCTATGTGTTTATTCTCCCCCCCTGTTCTTTCGTGAGGTCGATGTCACGCGTCAAGCCTCATAGAATCTCAAATCAGCATGAGTCTTTACGACACTCCAGGCTACTGCAGTTGTGATGAACATCAGCACCCACACTGGTTTTGTAGGTCAACCGGTATTAGGCTAAGGGTGGGGGCCCAACCCATAAATACATGTACCTGTGACTGCGCAGTGCTCAGATCAAATAACGTAGATATTTGTACTGGTTAAAAAGACTCAAAGCGGCCTTAAAAAATACTTTTAATGTTGCTTATTTATTGTATGCTGGCTACAATTAGATCAACTAAATCTCTCAACTCAAGGATCAAGGGCCAAATCCCAATTTTTTGCGGGCCACTAAAGTAAACGTTACATGTCTCCTTCATGTTTTTTTTTTTGTTTTTGTTTTTGTTTTTTTTTTGTTTTGCTAATTCGATTGTTCTTTTCCTTTGGCAGGGAATCTGTTCTGAAATTAATATTCTTTAAACTTTTTAAAAATACTGCAAGTATTTTGTCCCCAGTACTTCCCTAAGTAACATAAATTGAACAATCATTCATTGTATTTAACCCTTTCCGGGGACAGCGGTTATGACAGTGGACAGCTAACTGTGTTATCAGGTTACAGGGTGCATGAAAGGGTTAATATTTAGTTTCCTCTATTTTCCATGTCTTCTGATTTCAAATTAAATATGTTGTTAAATCGGAAAGCCAACACTGAATTGCATGGGCAATTGTAAAAAAGCAAAAACAAAATCCAAGATGATTACAGTACATATTATTTTCACAATTAAAACGGCCCTCTCAGGCAAACTACAATATGGGCCACACATAGAATCAAAATGAATTTAACACCCTTGAGCAAGCTTCAGGAGAAAATGAGAGAGATCCAATCCAAATGCATTATCAAAACTTTAAAAGCCTGGTTATTTTATTTAAACTGTCTGATCAATCTCTTACTTTCCTTGTACGTAGTGGCGTAGAACTGAGCTTTGTGACATTGTTTTTCCAAACCTTGTATATAGTAATCATAATCATACATCTGTACAACAATATTATTTAAATGAACATGCATAATTGATCTATTGTGACTATTATGTCTTTATACTGCTCAATTTGTACCCATTTTCCAACTACAACTTCCATCCATCCATCCATTTTCCCATCCGCTTTATCCTCACAAGGGTCACGAGGGGGTGCTGGAGCCTATCCCAGCCGTCTTCGGGCAGTAGGCGGGGGACACCCTGAACTGGTTGCCAGCCAATCGCAGGCTATAACTTAAATCATCATTATAATGTTATCCATACATATGATGCAGATCAAAAGTTCAATACACTGTCTATGTCAGGCATATAATTCATTCTTGTATCGTCACTGTCAATAACATGATACTCCCACTGTGCACACGGTGTGCAAATATCACCGTAGTATAATGAGCCTACTTACCACAAACCATCATGCAAACATCCTGTTTTTTTTTTTTTGCTTTAATTCAAGTTACATTTCTTTTGATTCTTCCTCACTGCTACAAATATATCTCGCTGTAGCGTTTTATTTCTCGCTCTCTCTCTCTCTCTAGTTCTCTCACGCTCTACCTACAGCTGCTCCTCTACACTCACCAATAACATATTTGACCACACGGTGGCAACGCTCATCTCTGCTTGAGCGCTGAGTGGAGAGGGAAATCTCCTTCAGGGGCTGGAGGGTCAACTCGTATCAATCAGTTTGACCCTCTCTATGCAGAAACACAACGTATAAATAAATACCACTATGGCCCAAACATCTGCTTGAGTGCCCCATATGATTTCAAGTAAACGTTTCAAAGAATACGTCTCGTTATTACGAACCACACCACACCAAATAACACGTGTTGCATACAAGAAGCATCATCCTAATTTGATAGTGCTGCGTTGCCCCACGTTGGTCCGACAAAAACGCTTTCCCGCTTGGATTGCTCTCACAACTGCTCTCTTAAATGTTTGTTTCCCTGGTGGTGTTCTCTTTTGGTTGGTGACTGTAAAAATCGCTGTTGACAATTTTGTATTTAGGTCAGCGTGGATCCCTCGGGGTCTGACAAACCACTTTCTCCCAGAGTCCCCATGATTGACACATTTTCTTACAACAAATGAAGTCCCGCTCCTCTGCTTTTCAATTCTTGATGAGTAACATGTTCGAAAATACAACACTTAAATACTGCTGTTGATGTATTTATGGTACACTTAGCTTCCCGTGTAGTTATTATTATGCATCACGTTTGATTACTGACACAAACAAGTACGCCGAGTTTGAATTCGCATTGTGGCTGCTGCTGTGTGTGTGTGTGTGTGTGTGTGTGTGTGTGTGTGTGTGTGTGTGTGTGTGTGTGTGT